CTGGCCCTGCACAGCCCCATCCCCAAGAGTCACCCCCTGTGCCCCAGAGGATCATCCCAACCCTCCTGCAGCTCTGGCAGCCTTGGGGCTGTGCCCACTGCCCTGGGGAGCCTGTTCAGTGCCAACCACCCTCTGGGGGAAGAACCTTTCCCTGAGATCCACCCTGAGCCTGCCCTGACACAGCTCCAGGTCTCAGTCTATGCCAACATGGAGCTCCTACCCTGCTGGCAGCTTTGTCTCCAGACTGCAGGGGAAACAAATGAGTTGGCATTGCTGGGTACCTCCCATGCACCTGCTTCTCTTGTTCCCTACAAGTTGGCAGCCTAGAGGGGAGATTCCCACATGGGACCTGTAACCCAGGCATGGCCACAGCCTGGTCCCCTCTGCCCTCCCTTGCTGGGCTGTTCTGGACCCCCTCAGTGCCTTGGTGCTGCTGCAGGTAATGAGAAAGCCTTTGCTGTGCCACTGAAGGGAAATCACAAACAGCAGGAGATGGGAGGCTTGGGAGAACAAATATCAACATAAACCCAGTGCTTTGAGTTGGCCAAGGGAGATGCCCAGTGGCTGCATCCCAGTGCAGTGGCCAAAGGGTTGGGCAGCAGCTGTGTCAGCTGAGCCAAGCAGAAGCAGCCAGGAGACTGGCCAGTCACCACTGCCAAACCTGCTGGACCTCAGCCTGCCCGTTAGTTATTATGATGTAACTTCGGGATGATGGTTTATCGTAACACTTTGTCTTCCAAATCTACCCGAATTAGTTCCACCTGGCTTCCCATCAGATGTGCCACACGTGCCTTTGACCAAAATAACCTCAGGAGGCCGTCAGGAGCTTGCTGAACTCCAGGATGCCTGGCAGCTTGATTTCTCTGCTTGGCTGATGGGAGAGCTGGCACAGGCTCTGTCCAGGGATTATGAAAGGATCTATGCAGAAATACTTTTTATTTCCCTTGTGGAGTGGCAAATAAATCATCCATGTAGTCTGAAATGCTTGCAGAGAAAATAAATGCCAATGGATTCCAGTTTTTTTCCCTAACAGTTTTAATGTAACAAAACCAGTTTTATTACTGAAAATTGGAAAATAGTTTGACTAACACTGCAGCCAACTTAAAAAAAAAACAATTATATTTTAGGTAGACAGAAAATAACAATTAGGAATGAGTCACTTAAATTGTTTCTCTCCAAATTGGTACTGACTTATTTTCATAACAGTTCACTTATACTCCAGGGTTTTTGAAATCTAAGTCAATAATGTAAAAAGCCTGTCAAATTCTACTTTTATTAAAGATTCTTACTAATGAAAAACTTGACTAGGAGCCTGAAACAGGAGCTATTATTTAAACAATTTCTTCCCTTCCTCACTAACCATCCTGGGTCTAATCCTGCAAATTTAGAGCTTTAATTGAGGATTATTCTGGATCATATTTTTAGCATGGAAGTGATGAAGCCTTGCCACATTTATTTCTGTTGGTAAGGACAATATTGGGCCATTCCTAGTGAAACAAGAGAGTGCATTTATTTTATCAAACAAAAAGCAAACATTGTATCAGCTTTAATCTCCATCATACCTGCCTAATGTTAAATGCAAATGTCGTTTCAGTGCACGGAGTTCAGCTCACCTGTAGTCTAAGCACTTGACTCCACAAGAGATGGATTTATGCAGTTACCAAGTCACATAATTAAACGGTTTTCTGCATTTTATGGCTGAATAGATCAACACTATAGCTTAGATGCAAATTGTTTACACATCAGGTAATGGACCCTACTGATTTAGCACTCGCAGCATATTCCACT